TTAAATCATGGAGCATATGGAAAATGTGTTTAGCTCCTTGTAGAACTTCACAAACCAAAAAAAAAAAAAAAAAAAAAAATTCCATTTCTGTGCACATGGCTTGTTTACGGTCATTATAAAAGCATGGTACTGTGTCGCTTACTGGTTAGGAGAAGCAAGTGCCTGCAGACTCCACTGTGCCCGTCTGTAAGAAATAGAGGCCTGGCTTTTCAGTTTAAAGAAATAGTAATCATTGTATTTTTTGTGCTTTAGACCTGAGTGTTCTCTTTAGGATGTATTTTTATTCTTTCACATTACCTCTCTAGATATTTTATAGTACTTATGGAGAAAATTTTACATAAATATATTGGAGACTGCTCATGCTTAAATGAATTGCCACCCAAGGATTAATCTGTAACCTTTATGAGGCATGTTTTATTAATATCATCTTATCATTAAATTGAATATTAATATTTAACATCTAATAAGCATAGAATGTATATGTCGGAATGTACTTCATGCCAGGGGATTTTGCAAAAGTCACTGTAATAGCCTGAGAGTAATTAAACGAGCTCTCTGCAGTATATTAATTACACTGGTACTGCTCATGTGAGAGGTAGTTTTTGGTAACAATGCTCATGATATTTTTGTTTGTCATCATGCTGAGCATTATAACCTGAAGGGATGGAAATATTCAGTATAGCTCTTGAGAACGTCTATTTCATCCTTAAATTCTGGAAATATATTTGCCATATAAAAATTCATAATTATGAAACTGATAAAGGGAAGAGATTCAAAACTATAAATGCATATATCATAAAAATGTTTTTTTCTTATACTATTAGTTGTTCCTATTGGTAAAACAGTATAACTTGTCTATAAAAAAGTACCTTTTAAATAAATGAATAATTAAAATATATTTAATGTTTTAGCTTCAAAATAATTTTATTTTTAACACATTTTTCTTCATTGTATATATACATGTATATATATTTGTATAAGTGCATATGTGTTTTTTTAGTTATTTATGAATATAAATGTATTTGATATATAATCTGATACTAAAATTCACTCTTCCCTGAATGGCAATTGAGAAATCTTACTTTACCATGAAAAAACAAACTTTTGTGTAGGTTCTGGCTCCTAAGAGACCACACGAAAACATGAGAATCGGCTCGGCGCCTATAGCTCAACCGGCTAAGGCGCCAGCCACGTACACCTAAGGTGGCAGGTTCGAATCCCCAGCCCGGACCTGCCAAACAACAATGACGGCTGCAACCAAAAAAAAATAGCCGGGCGTTGTGGCGGGCGCCTGTGGTCCCAGCTACTTGGGAGGCAGAGGCAGGAGACTCGCTTGAGCCCAGGAGTTGGAGGTTGCTGTGAGCTGTAATGCCATAGCACTCTACCCAGGGGGACAGCTTGAGGCTCTGTTCAAAAAAAAAAAAAAAAAAAAAAAAGAAAACATGAGAATCTATTCTCCCCAGTTCCGTCTCCAGTGTGGATAATTCTATAGTCAGATCAAGTTTTCTCTGTATTACTTGGTTTCTTTTCTTTTCCCTGCTGTTAATGATATCTTATTTTTGTGAAATAAAACTAATATTTAGGGAAATTTTCATAAGATATTTTATTAATTCTCTCTATTTTGTTTAAGTTATTTTGATGTCAAAACATCTTTAAAACTTTTATACATAAAAATACTTAGATACGTAGGTATATGTACATACATAAATAATTGCTTGTGTGATTACTTTTGCATGGTTGAAAGGCTTCTTCTGAAAAATATAATCTTATGAATTCTGTGGGCATTGCAAAAGGACAATCTCTAAAGATTGCTCCACTGTAGAGCTAAGATTCTCTGAGTAAAGTAGACTGACATTTTTGGTACCTAGTAATGAATGAATTTTGTACTTATTGAACATGTACTTTATTACAAGATTGACATGTTATTTATCTGGAACTGAAGCCTGGAGCAGTTGTGTGTAAGTATGTGTATGGATGTAGACTGCGCATTACTCAGGCCGGATGACCAAAACAGGGGTCAAGCCAGCAGGTGTGGTTATGAGGCAGGTGGAGTTGTCCCCAACACCTCGGGTGATTGGATCCTATTCTTTTTGTGCTTTTATGGGCTACAGATCTCCTAGGCACTAAGAGACTCATGCCAGGGCATCACTCACAACCCACTTGCTGCTCCATTTGGGAGGTGGTATTGTTTTCTTCTCCCATTGCTAGAAAATATATTTTTCATTGTACAAAGTTTATACCTGAATACAGTAATATTTAGAATCTAGGGCAGTGATTTTCAGCCAGTTTATGGTAGCACATTAGTGTGCCATGTAAGGATCTTAGGTATGCCACAAAAATTTTTAAAGATCATTAATTAAATTATTTTCAAAAGAAGTCCACACCATAGTAAGTATATATTTTTTACTCCTTTTTTGATCAACATGATTTAAGTAGGTCACAGAAGCTTAATCATAGGTTCAAGTGTGCCCTGAGATAAAAAAAAAAAAGTGGAAAAACACTGATCTAGGAAATATCTTTCTTTTACTGCTCTATTTAATACAAGGCCAAGTTTACTTGCAGGCACAAAGAGCAAGGATGTTGAATTAGGTCTAGTTCTCGTTCAAATGACCTGTTTTGAAAAAAATTACTGAAATCATCTCTTCATTCAAGGATCTTCTCTTCCCACTGCCACTTACCATGTGTTCATTGTCAACTGAAATTTCTCTCTAAAGACAGAAAATCTACTGTTCTGAAATTAGTTAGAGCTTACAGTTTGATGCAATGATAAATTGATTCAAAATGAATTCATGCAACTTATGCCAATAATACTGAGGATCTACTAAGTTCACAGCAGTGAACTAAATCTAACAAAAATTTAAGTAAATTAAATCACCATGACTGAAGACCTTCTACACTGAAAGCAGTGAATTAGACTTGATGAAGAAGTAACATATTCTCAACCATGAAACGCAAAGCAGCCAGATCAGGGACCACAACAGGAAGACGCAGGCAAGGTGGAGATGTGGGTTTCAGAGACCAATTGAATCTGTAAGGAGAACTGGGGGACTTGCAGGGTCTGGGCTGAGCCATCCAGCAGATTTCACTGCACATTAATCTCTGCAGAGCAGTCGTGGTGAGATGTTCCATAGGAAACAGTGATCTAGAAGTCTGCAGAGTCAAGGTTAGAGCTAGGAAAAGTATAAATTAATTACACTTTGGGCTGTGGCCCTCACTTCATCTTCTCATACCCTGCCATCTCCGTGTAGCATAAGACTTTTCAGTGTACATCTTAACAAGTGGTCTTCTGTTCTCCAGGCTTTATATTACAACCAAAGTGATTATTTCAAAACAAAATCAAATTGCTTCTCTCTCTTGCTTAGAACTTTTCACCAGTTTCATATGCCTGTAATAAGAAGCCTACTCTCCTTACCTTGGTTCACCAGGCCCTGTATGATACGGCCATGACTTGCTTTCCCATCTCTTCTGGAGCTCCCCACCCTGGCCCTATCCCCTGGTCATACAGAAATGCAGATATTAATTTCACTGAGAACATCATCTGTTTCATAGTTTCTACCACGCAGGACGTTGTCTTTACCTCTTCTGGATCCTTTCCTGTCCTGGTAACTAGTAGGAAACCAAGAACTACTAACTCTCATCATCCTTTTAAAATACAGTTCAAATATTCTCCATGATGGGCCTTTTCTGACTTTTCCTAGTAGCTACCTATCATCTGTTATCACTAGATCTTACATTTCTGCTATGATGGTTAGGTAAATGTATTCCAACTATTTGCATATATGCTTCATTTGTCAGAGCATAGAATTTCAACCATTTGTGGTTGGGATTTGCAATAATGCATAGCTTTCTGCCAAAATGCATCTCTTTGTATAAATGAGAAAGGTGGTCTGAGACTTTCCCAGACTAACTTCTCCTTCTCAGCAATAGGCTTAGTTACAGGGCGTCACCGTGTTACATGCCCCAAACTTGTAAGAAGATGGATCTCTATGTGTCAACATACACCAAAGAAAGAGAGTCTAGTGTAAAAAGTCAATAATTACAGGGAATGGCCAGTTGTGTTCCAGCTTCACCGTCTCTAACTCCACTTGCTCATCCTCCTTTGAAATATTTTGAAGCAAAATCTAGATATTAACGTTTTACTCGCAGATGTCATTGTATTTCTGGAAGGTAAGAATTGTTTGAAAAAATATTGATGATACCGTTATCATACCTAAAACGTTAACAAATTCTTAATATATACTAATAATCAGTATTTGATTTTCCACTAGTTTTCATATTTTAAATGGTTTGTTTGAATAAAGGCCCAATAAACTTTATTCTTCATGACTGGTCGATAATTCTAGGTATAATACAGTGGTTCTTAATGTTGTCCTGTTAGGTTACTTGAAGGAGGGCATGACCGCTGCCTGGTGAGTGGAGGCCAGGGATGTGCAGAAATCTTACAGTGCACAGGATGGACTATAAGAAAAAATTATCCTGCCCTAGCTATCAGTACGGCAAGACTGAGAAACTATATTTACACAGGTTTTTTTTCATCTTTTTTTAAAATTGTAATTTCTTTGTTGAATAAACTGAATCATTGGTCTTATAAAGTTTTCCACAGTTGGTATTTTTCTGAGGACACACCTGGTATCATTTAACGTATTTGTCTGTGTTTTGTACATATTAGTAACTGGATTTAGAAACTACATATGATCCAGATTCAATTTATTTTACCAAAACTACTTTAATCTAGTTCAGGGATGGTGCTATCTATTCCTATCAGGAGGCGCATAATGTATGATTCGCTCTCTCTCTTTTCCTCATCAGGATGGGAAACTACTGGTAATCAAAATCTAAATCCATTAAAACTTTAGGGATTGAAAAATAGTGATATTGTATTTTTATAATTTCTTCTTCATTTCTGAAAACATCACTGATTTTTAGAAATATCCATATGGTGTTTGACACAAAGATGGCATTGTGCATGCAATGTTTATACATTCTGTATTTATTTTCAGAAACATCCTGTACCACCTTGATGAGAAGAAAAGCCAATTTTCAACACTTGTGGAGGCTTGGGAGCACTGCAAGCCACTTGCATCAAATGAGACCCTTCAAGAAGCCCTATCAGAGGTGTTGAACAGCATTAATTCTGCTCAGGTTTACTTCAAAGCAGGACTTGATGTGTTCGAGAGTGTCTTAGTTGAAAAGAACTGAGAAAACGTTCAGAATTTTAAAAAGTGTGTTTACAATTCCACCAGCAAATGCTCTCATCTGACCAGATTTTCTGACATGGAAGTCTTGTTTCTCCCAATGGCTTTTTGACAAGTGTAAAGCTATTATTACAGTGTATTTTTTAAATGTAAATATGAAAAGAGCATTTTGCACATTTAATATTTTTCTGATATCTATATTTCTGAATATATAAGAGCAAGTTACTGAAATAATACTTAAGATTTATCTATTGAAAAGAAATCTGCTGTATTTTTACAAATATATGTAAACTATTCTGGGGCAGGGGGTGGGGGCGAGTTGGAAGTTCTGGACAATCTTTGCTCCTGTGGGCAGAATACCTGGGAGCACAAGTTATTTCCTCTGATAGAGCTATTAATAACCTAATTCTGTTATAAAAATGGACAGTTGATTTGGTGTCAGATTAACTTCACTATTAAGTATTCAAAATGAAGAATTCAAATATTCTGAGTGATTCATTGACCAAAACCACTTTGAATGTTTCTATTTTATGAAATGAAGTTCTTCTTCTTAACAACTAGATGTAGTAATATACTGGTTATGAAATTGTATTTTTTAAGTATTAGTGAAAGAAAGAGCCATAAACATTCCAGGGAAAAATCTCAAGGTAGCTGCACAGAGTAATTTAAATGCAAATTTAGTCCTAACAACTTATAAAATAACTAGCTTTGAAACCCCTAATTTGCCTCAGTTGATTTTGTAAGAATTTTAAGAGTGATGTACTTCTTATGAGAAAGAAAAATATTTCATATTTCTTTTCTGTTGGAACCACTGAAACAGAAGGTATTCTAAAATTAAAGCATCTCACACTGCTTTTCCTTCTTGGGCCTTTCCTGAAACTCCTTGCTGGAAGGCAGTTTCCACAGAGTATGTCTGATATCCCCAAGGGAAGGTTGTAAAGTTTTTCCTTGAAAACCCAAAATATCTTATGAAGCATCAAATTGCTACTTCTGCCTCTGACAAAAATGAATTACTATAAAAGAAATAGTTGTTTTTATTAAGACAATTCCTTAATTCTATAAAGAAACATTGGGAATTTATTTCTTCCTTATCCTTAATTGTGACTAAGATGGAAATGTAGAACAGGCCCGTGCTTTTAATTTTACACAGCACTGTGTCAAGAGGGAGTCTCTCCCACACCTGAGTTCTCCCACGTGTAAATGAAGCTTTTCTTGCTGACATTGTCACTGAGTAGCACTAGCGTCCATTATTCCCTGAAACCTTGAAATTCTGCTTCTTAAAAGGCAGGTTAAACTTTTAGTCTAAACTTTACCTTTAGAAATTGATTCACAAGCATTCTTCTATTAGATATAGCAATTCCCCTTAAGAAATGGGGAATTTCAAAATATTTCATATGAATTTTCTCTGCCTAACTCAACACTCAAACACACTTTGCACTATACACTGCCAGAGCAGCACAGCCGACAGTCGCTGTGTGTCTAAATCTTCACTTTTTGTGGCTAACCATAAACCTAGCCTTAGTTTAAAGGAAAACTAAAACTGAGGGGAAAGAATTAATCAGTATTGATTCATGGATTCAACTCTTCCTACTACAAATAACATTTATATGCTCAAAGCAAAGTAGAGAACTGAGGCAATTGGCTAGATGGTTCAAACAGAAATCCATTTTCGTTTAAGTTTCCCATATGTGCGTTTTTGTACATAAGGGATGGAACCGCCTTACAATTTTATTTTTTTAGCTAATGTATTGTTTAAGAGTATTTGTAATGTTGTAGAGAATGTATTCAGGAGGGGTCTAAAAGGATCAGGCTTCTGCCTGTCTTGACATGAGCACTCTCTTGCTCTGCAGAAAAGAGGGGAGACACGCACACAGGCCCGTGTGGGCCCAGACAGTGGAGTGCCTTACACCACAGGATAGTAAATATGCATTCAAAGTCAGCCTGTTCATTCCATTTCATTATTTGGCATTGGATTTAAAACAAAAAGGTGAAGTATTATCGGTGTGACAGTTTATCATTTTACAAGAAAAATCCTAAAATGGATTCAAGCCTATAACCCAAAATAGCACTGAGAGAAGGACATGTTTTTCTTGTTCACCTTTGTTTAAAGACTGTGCACCTAAGTAAGTCACATTGCAGACCTAAAAATCTTCCTTTGTATCCTTCACTTGTAAATTATTTGGTATTTGCTGCTGGACTCTGGACTAATCTGTCTGTATTAATCTATGTCAGAGCTAGGTGGAGAAGCACATGGTAGTGAAAGCACATGTCCAGGTTCTCTCTAGATGCTGCTCTAGATCTTTGACGGCAACAAACCTTTGACCAGCAGCAATGCTGCTGTGGTCTGATTACCTTGGGATTCCTCCAAATTTATATTATCTTATTTCCCTTCCAATTGATCCAAGTAAAGAAAATCTTGAGCAAGTTAACAGCAAGTGTTACATGAATCGGTAGTGGGTTTATAAGGTTGCTGAGAGATCTGCGTACCTGGTATATCTCACAATTCTTCATATATAGAATTGTATGAAGAAATAATAAATCACCAATAATTATCCTCCCAAGAAAATGTGGCCAATGTGTACCCATGATCTGTGTTCAGACAGGAACACCACAGAGTATAGATCTAAGGGTCAGGGGAAGCCTCAGAGACATTCTGGTCTCAACTCTTGTCTTTCCTTCAGCTAGAAAAGGATCCTCTCACCTTTGTGAGAGGCAGTGGCTGGGAAACCTGGACATAGTCTGTGTTTATTTAGTAAGGAAATCTGGCTTTCTCTCCAGTGCATCCCCTCCCACCCTGAGGAGACAGGGCAAGAGATAATCTTTTCCAGTGCATTCCGTGGAACTAGCCATTCTATCAGATGTTGGGTGGGCTGGGACTGCGGTTCCTAATTCAAGGCTAGCTCATTCTCTGATGATCCTCTACAAACAAAACTGCAAGTGAATCCAGGCCAAGGACAAAAACACTGGATCCTCGGGAGGAAATGGGGCGAGTCTCTCCATGACACCCCGAGTCAGGAAGAAGACATCAAGCAAAATATTTTATAAGAGGAAAAGTTAGCCCATGATTAAGCCAACCATCTAAATCAGTGTTTCTCAAAATATGGGATTCAGGGAGAGAGCCCTTCCTCCAGGTTTCCACGTGATCTTTATGCTGCTGAAGTTGAAGAATTTCCAATCTATATCAATCATAGGTCCCAAGAAAACGTTAGTTGAAAACATATCTAAACTGAAGAATCACAATTAAAAGAAAGACTTAGGGCCTTGCTGCTAATGTTACCATTAAAAGGAAAAAAATAGGACCCTCAGCAAAGGGCTCAGCTAACCCTAATATCTGTGTAGACAATGAGCCAGGCGCCGTTTCTCCATGTGGTTTTGTAGACTTTCCATGTAGACTTTCTCCATGTGGTTTTGTTTATCCTAATTCAATCCCCATGACAACCCATTTTAGAAATGAGAAAACTAGTTTGAAATACTTGATAAAAAGAGAGGTATAGTTTTGATAGTGGATTCAGGTCCATAGTCTTCACGTGAATGCTGAAAAGCATCAGAACCATCTGATCAGACTGCGCAGTCTGTCACTTCTTTGTTATAATGAAGGAGTTTAAGGAAACAAATGACATCATTGTTGGTGATGGCAGCTCACTCCACCAATGGTTTACAATGTAGGTAAGTGTAAAGATACTTACAGAGCCTTAAAAGTTAGTGCCCCATTGTGGAATATCATGACAATCAGATTTACAAATAGTAAAAAGAGACCAGAAGCCACAAGTGTTAAAATTTATTTATCCGCATGCCTATATAATTTCTCTAGAAGAAAAAAAAGAGAAAAAAAAAGAGCAGGTGCAGTAACTTAAAACCAAGGCTTTATATTATTTGTAAAAGTTCAGAATAACTGACTTTTTATATTAAAAATATGTAGCATATAGTAAGTGTCCCTGCTGGAAAGTGTTAAGAAAATAAGACAAATGATGATTTGTTACCATGCTCCTAATAATGAACCAGCATCTTTACCTCAAATGAAAAACTATAATTATTTGCACAATAAATTGGTAGACCTAGCCAAAAATGTTCTCGTGGGACACTCTGTGATATGTGTAATTAATTACTACAAAAATTAAGCTTTCTCTGAGGGTAACACATTGTCGTCTCATTGGTTTAATAGGCTATTTAAATAAATGTGCCTTAGCCGCACATTTGCTTAACAGAAATTATTTTAAACTGCCAATCCATATGCTGAGTGGAAAGGAAGTGGCCCAGATAGTGCAGTAAACACAGGAGCAACGGAATAGGTTCCCTACAGGACCACGGGGTCGATGGAGGGAAAAACAAACCCACGATGTGATATTTGAGAAAGGAAATACTCTGTTCAGCCACGGCAGAGAATTAGTATTTCTTTAATGAGTTTAAGTTACTAACTTACAAAAGCCTCCTTAGCAGAACCTGCTATTCTGAAAAGTCTTGGAAAGCTTCAGAGTCCTGAGCGCCCTGAAGAGACCGTTCAGTTAAGTGGGTTTGTTTACATAATTCAGAATTTTAATGTTTTGTGCAATTTGCAGTTTTGAGTGACATAAATTTGAAGAAGGGTAACAAACAAAATTTGTAAGATGTAACCTTTCCCGGTCATTACCACGGCTACTCAATTTTCGGCTTAGTATTTCTATACATTTTCTGACATTAGAGATTTTTTCCTGAGGAGTAATTTTAAAATCTGTTTCTGTATAAATACATCTGTTAATCGGCTGGAGTTTTAGCTCCATAATAGCTCTCCGTTATCTTTCAAAGATGTACACCAAAGTGCCTTTAGCATGAATCTTGATACCTTGCTTAGTGCAAGAGGATAGACTTCTTAAAGATGTTAATAATCTCATGTTTAGATTGGAACTGAATTTACAAAGCAATGGGTAAAATTGAGGCAGTTTCAGGTAGCATTTAAGAAAAAGAAGCTGCTTCAAATGTTACTCTTTTTGGTTAGGTTATTTTGTGTTTGAATTATATAATTGTATAGTTTGCTGTAACCAAAACAGTAATTTTGATATTTTCAGCAAAAGTTCAATCATCAAGACCAAAGAAATATATGGTTACTTTAATGTCTAAGGCAGGATTCCAGTCAAGA